CAGATTGGAAAAAAGAAAGAAGAAATACCTGGACCAAGCAACTTCCATATGAATATGACCTATATCTTATCAGCCATGTTCTACTCATAACCAGATCAACCAACAGCAATGGAGGGTGACTATTTGGCACCAGAACCAATTACGGCACTTATGAATATTGAGGAAGTTGGAAAAAAAGGATCAAACTTGGCACATTTGCCCAATCTCACACAAAAAGAGCCCAAGATGGTTTATTCTGACAAGATGGTGTTCAGCAAGCCAAGTTTAGCCTTAGCAAACCATTTAAAGCCCATACATGTGACAACTTATTTGGAGAGAGTCATTTTCAAGAGGGTGTTGATAGATGGGGGCATCAGTCAATGTGCTCTTACTTATCTCACAGTGTCTATTTTTTTGGGGCCATCACCAAAACCTATAAGATACCTTTGGAGGTAGACTTGGGATCTAAGAAAATCATGTTCACATTTTCTATGGTGGACAACAGCTCTACCTATGGGGCATTGCTGGGAAGAGATTAGATCCACCAGAGTTTGTATGTGCCATCTACTTTGCACTAACTAGTTGTTTTTTATTATAAAACCAGAACTGAGAAGCTATGATTTTAGGAGGTAGCAGAGGCCGAATCACGGCCATTTCTCCCCACAACCAACACTACAGAAGCAAATTTCTACGATCCTAGTGTTGGGATCTTACAATGTTTAGGTGTTGATAAAAACGGCCACCCTACCAAGGTGACAACCCAGAAGCTCCTAGAGTAAGGGTTTTCTCTCACCAATAAGGAATGGGACAAGCTTTACATTGTCCCTACCCATCAACACCAATGATGACCGACCAAAAAAGGAATGACCAAGTAGCTGCAGTCAGGTCCTTAATCAAAAGGTTGTTGAAGTATGGGAGAGAAATAAGAGAGATTAAAGAAAACTCAGCCAAAGAAATGGTAAAGTCAGGAGAATGAACTTCGGGCACCAAAAACAGAGAAGGAAAATAGATTTTGGGAGAAGAAGTGGAAACAGCCATTCACATGGTAGAATGTATATATGACTTAGATTGGCCAGATGATGAGCCCAGGGCCCTGAAGTCAATAAAAATTTTATGCACAAAGCCTAATAAACTAGCACCAGAAGTACAAGACCCCTTGGAAACTACTAATTTAGGGACTGAAGAGACCCAAGGCCAATACAACTCAGTGGCTTGTTGGAGGCTGGAGATCGAGCAAAGATAGTTGACCTTTGGCATGAATTCAAAGACTGTTTTGCATGGCATTACACAGAGATGCCTGGATTGGACCCCAGTTTAGTGGAGCACAGAATGCCTATCAAAGAGGGATACAGACCTATGAAACAAGCACCAAGAAGAATGTCGAAGGAAATAGAAAAGAAAGTCAAAGAAGATATTGAAAGGCTAGTAAAGACATGATTTATTAGGCCTGCAACGTATATGAAGTAGTTAGCCAATATTGTACCTATTTTAAAAGATGTAACTAATGTCATTCAATGTTGTGTTGACTATAGAAACATTAATGAGGCAATTCCCAAAGATGAATACCCCATGCCCATGGCTGATCTATCCATCGATGTAGTTGCAAAACACAAAGTTATATCTTTTATGGATGAGAATACTAGATATAATCAAATAAAAATGGCTAAAGAAGATATCCATAAGACAACATTTAGATGCCCAGGACATATAGGAACATATGAATACGTGGTTATGCCATTAGGGCTGAAAAATGTTGGTGCTACTTACCAAAGGGCAATGAATGTTATTTTTCATGATTTAATCGGGTATAGCATGGAGGTATACATTGATGACATTGTGGTCAAGTCTAAAATTGAAGATTAACACCTAGAAGACCTCAGATAAGCCTTATTAAGAATGAGGACCCATAAGTTAAAGATGCATCCTATGAAGTGTGCCTTTGGAGTCAGATCAGGCCACTTTCTAGGGTTCTTGGTCATTCAAAGAGGTGTGGAAATAAATAAAAACAAAGCTCGGGCTATAATGGAATCACTTTCCTCTACCAACAAAGTGCAATTGCAGAGGTTGTTAGGGAAGATCAAATTTTTAAGAAGATTCATTGCTAATCTGGCGGGCAAGATCCAACCGTTGACTTCTTTATTAAGATTGAAGAATCAAGATAAGCTCGAGTGGGGCCCTCAACACCAAGAAGCTTTTGACAGAGTAAAAGCTTGTCTAGCCTTTCCACCAGTGTTCATGCCTCCCCAGAGGGGGAAACCTTTGAAACTTTACATTTCTACATCTGAGAAGTCAATAAGGAGTTTATCGGCACAAAACAATGAAGGTGGGAATGAGCAAGCAATATATTGCCTCAGTAGGATCCTTACTGAGGTAGAAACAAGATATACCCCAGTTGAGAAGATATGTTTAGCTTTATACTTCATTGCCTACAAATTAAGGCATTATATGTTGCCTTACCATATCCGTATAATTGCCAAAATTGATGTAATCAAGTACATGCTGTCTAAGCCAATGCTAATTGGGAGAATTGGGAAATGGATTCTAGCACTATCAGAGTTCAGTTTTCAGTATGTACCTCAGAAGGCAATAAAGGGACAAGCAATTGCAGACTTCATGTCTGAGCACCAAGACTCCAAAGAGGAACTTGTCAACATCCCAGGAACTCTAGAAGTAGCCAGCCCTTGGATTCCACCTAATAAAGCTTATTCGGGTAAGGAGGAAATGATCCAACAAGAAGTGAAAAGAATAACTAGCCTATGGATCACTCTTTAGAAATTATATTTTGATGGGTCTTGCATTCAACATGTTGCAGGAGCTGGGATTGTCATTATTGATCTAAAATGAATCCAACATTACTACTCATTTTTTCTGGATTACCAAGATACCACCAACAACAGGGCAGAATACGAGGCATAGATCATTGGCTTAAATCCTGATAGAGTTGGGGGTAACCGAGGTAGAAATATATGGTGATTCTGAGTTAGTGATTAATCAATTGAATGGAGAATACAGTGCAGATATCTCACAATGGCAGTTTAATATTTGGCAGCTACTCAGTTGCTAAACTATTGGGGTAGTGAAGTATCAATCAATTATGTCCCCAGAGAAGCAAATTTAATTGCCAATGAAATGGCACAGATGTCTTCTGAAACGTAGATTCAAGAGAGAAGGTTTAAGATGAATGTAGAAGTACAAAGGAGAAATCTCCCTTCTATCTTTGTGAGAGGATTTAGCTTGGATGTAATGACTAAAGAGCATAAGATAGAAGACTGGAGAACATCTATTATTCAGTACTTGAAGGATCCCTTTTTTTCCCACATGTAAGAAGATTAGGCGGCAAGAAACTAAGTTTGTTATGTAGGACAAAATCTTGCTAAGAAAGACTCCAGATGGACTTTTGTTGAAATGTTTGCGTTTGGAGGAATCAATGAGGGTACTGGTTGAAGTGCATGAAGGCATTTACGGGGCACGTCAAGTCGAAACAAAGATGAGGTGGTTGTTGAGAAGATATGGCTACTTCTAGCCCAACATGGAAAAAGATTGTAAAATTTATGCTAGAGGGTGTGAAGAATGTCAAAGACATAGACCTCTCCAGCACATACCATCAATATCTTTGCATCCAGTAGTGAAGCCATGGCCTTTCAGAGGGTGGGCAATGGATTTCATCAGGCAAATATACCCAACTTCCAGCAAAGGGCACATCTTCATAATTGTGGCAACTGACTACTTTACTAAGTGGGTTGAGGCGTCAACTGTGAAGACTATTAATTGAGCTGCTGTGAAGAAGTTCATTGAGACTAAAATCTTACACACATATAGGGTGTCTAAAACAATTGTTACAGACAGAGGGCCATCATTCATCTCAAAAGAAGTAGAAGAGTTTGCAGACAAGTTCAATTTAAAGATAATCCAGTCTAACCCTTATTATCCCTAATCCAATGGTCAAGCATAATCTAGCAATAAGATCTTGGTGAACATCATTAAGAGAATGGTGGCATATAGCCCAGAAAGATGGCATGAGAAGTTGGGAGATACTCTTTGGGCCTACAAAACCTTCAAGAGAGTAGGAACTGGGACCACCCCTTATGCATTAACATTCGAGCAAGATGTTGTACTCCTTATGGAAATCAATGTAAGTTATGTAAGGCTTCAGAACCAGTTTGAACTACATAGTGATGAATTCATCCAGGCCATGTGTAAAGGGATTGAAGATTTGGATGTAGCCTAAATTGAAGCTCTAAATAAGATCCAGGAAGGAAAGAGGGTTGTTGCCCAAGCCTACAACAAAAAGGTGAAATTGAAAACCTTCAAAGAATGAGAGTTAGTATGGAAAACAGTTATGCCCTTAGGAGTTCAATTTAGGGGTTTTGGGAAGTGAAGTCCCACTTGGGAAGACCCTTTTATCATCAACAAAGTGTTAGACAGAGGGGGTATTACTTGGCAGATTTAGAGAGAAACTTGCAAAGAATTCCAGTCAATGATAAGTTTTTAAAGAAGTATCACCTAACTTTATGGGATGTTAGAGATTGTTATATTGATGAAGTTTGAACGCTAGGAAGAGTAGTGAAGCCTTTTAATATATTTAAAACAGTTAAGCATTGAAGTGTAAATGAACAAATAGATAAGTGAAGAAAGAAGTGATCTTTCATTTCATTTCATAATAAAGGAAGTTACAAAAGACCCTAGCTTAAGAGTTTTACATCCCTAGCTAAAGCAGTTATCGTATAATGATAGGTTTGCATGATAGTGAAAATTATGCCCAGCTCTTCTAGGGCGATGTTGCTATTAGCTAACTAAGCTTCAGAATCCTCCACTTCTTGGTTGACCCTCTTTACTTCTTCAATCTTCTGATAGAGCTTGCTCGAGAGAGTCATATGCTCGGCCTTTAGAGCAGAGATAGAAGAACTAAACAAGAAGCTCAAATTCTCAAACAAGGAGACAGATACGCTAAAGAAGACCTTGTCCGATGGCGTAAAACTGGTTGGCAAATGATCCAACGATCCCAAGTGGTACAAGAAGGCTAAATATACAGACAAACTCACCGCTTTGGACGAGTCTCTCAGTCGAAAAAAAAGTATTCCAAGTAAAGAGATTATAGCAGCAAAAATGACGTTACCTATTTAGTACATATGGAAAGATCACATTGTTCACCCGCCAACAGGGAAAAATAAAATGACGGACTGGAAACTCCTATCAATTTCTATTCTTCTGTTGCATCCAATACATTAAGGCAGTACATTTTGACTACAATAAGAAAAATAACGAGGGTCGATCCCCAACTAGCTTCAACTTCTCCTCATCCGATTAGGGGTTTCATTCTTTCTGGATCATGGGTACTTCGAAAGAATCTTGCTGCTGGTTCTCCCAATTTGTTATGGTAGTAAAATGAAGAAAATCAGGCGCTTAGATTAAAATCTCCAGTACTTAAAACCGCTCATACAAGAACCTCAGCACCAGCATAGGCAGCAGAAGAGTGAACATGGTTAATGAAATTGTATACTTCAGGCCGATACAATAAGTCAGTTTCTCTCTGAAGACCACAAACTGCCTTCACGCTACATTTTCGAAAAAATCTTTGGTAGCATCTGCAGATTAATAACAAGAAATTTTGCACGTGAGACATGATGATTTCCCTCTTAACTTTCTCGCCTTAATCTCAGTATCCTAATTCTAAATAAAATGTATACAACAAACGCAAGACTAAGCTGACTGTGAACAATTATTAATTGCATCCCAACCATATGACATACCATGCTTCATTGTTAACGAAGGATCTATTTCGTCTACATATCCAATGACCTTTGCTGGTATTCCCGCCACCATGCTTGAGTACGAGAGAAAGAAATGTCACTTTCATATGATTGTAAATAGAGTAGATATTACATCTTCAGGAGACATTAGTTACATTACTGTACTGAAAAAAATTTCTACCTGTGTGGAGGGACATCTTTCAGCACAAGAGAACCAGCAGCTATCATTGCTCCTCGACCTATTTTGATATTCCCAAGTACAGTTACACTGGCTCCAATTAGTGCACCGTCACCTACTTTTGGATGTCGATCACCAATTCCCTTCCCAGTTCCCCCCAAATTCACACCCTGTTGATAAAAGGAGAAAACATAGTTCTTCGTTATCAACAAGTGCTTTTTCAGCACAACACAAAGGAACCAATAAATTGAAACAGAAATGAATTATGAAATTGACATACGTGCATCAGTGATACTCTGTTTCCTACAACAGCAGTTTCGCCAATAACCACACCAGTACCATGATCCAACAGTATTCCCTCTCCAATTTTTGCAGCTTTAGAAAAACCATCAAAGAGAATGTTAGTTTTACATCATAGCCAGAGCTCCTTCACTCTCCTATCGACTCAAACTCCTCAGAAAACAACCGTTTTTCAGCAAAGAAAACCACGTTCTCTACTTAAATCTATAATTACTCCGTGTTCTTGTCAAACTTAGTATCAAGATGTCAACAGATTGCAGAGCGGAAATAAATATACCTGGGTGAATGTCCACTCCAAAGACCTAGAATAAAGTGGTTTTAAGATTAGAAGGAGAACGGAAAGCCACAAACCTAAACAGCTAGTAATGCTCAACAAGGATACCAAAAAAGGAAAGTACCTCGCTAATTCGGCTTTGCAACGCCAAGGCCAATACTTTTCGTCCTTGATTCCACAATGAATGAGCTACTCGATGTACTTGCAAAGAATGGTAGCCCTGCAAAAGTAGAGGAGGAAAAAGATGATCACGAAATTAGAGTATATACTTGATTATAACATTCCTTTTCGTTTTCTTCGACTACATAATTAGTTAACAACAGGAAAAGAGCATAACACCTTAAGATACAATAGCGCCGAACAATACGACAAGCAGGCCGGATCACGGTCTTTAAATGCCTGAGGAAACAAATTTCCAATTTAAAAGAGCCTCCATAAGTTATCAAAGCATATACAAAGTCAACCGTAATATTTTCAACACGAATTTGCGGTTACCTGCACATCCAAGCGAACGGATCGCTGAATATCTCTATCATGCAGCATCACATCATAAAATATATCCATCAGTTGAGTTGCCAAAAGCGTCGGGTTTTGCAGTCTGTTGGCGAGAACAAACCCCAACGCCTGCTCTAAGCAATCATGTGCCAAGATGCTGGCATACAAGAAGCTACTCAAAATTGGCTCCTTTTCCGCCTGCAGTGTTTAAAATGCCAAAAAAAAAAAAAAAAAAAAAAAAATTCGCTAAAAACCCACCAAAAAAACTAAAAACGAAAACAAAAAAATTGATGGGATTTTCATTAATAACTTAAAGCTTCAATCTTTCCTGTTTGGGACTTCTTCTATGAAAGCTAAAAGCGATTTCTACAGAAGACAATCAAAAACGCTTTTGGATGCGTTTGGAAGAAAAAGTTACAAGTGTTTTGAGTCATAGAAGTGCTTTCTGAAAAAGCACATAACATATGCTCATTCAGAAAACGCACTCAATCAGAAAACACTTATAGTGGCTTTTTAAGGAAGCACTTGAATTTCAATGCGTTTTCAACGAAAGCACTTATGAGCTTAAGCGCTAATAACAAGTGATTTCCTGCTTGCTACAGAAATGCTTTCTGCAAAAGCACCTGACATGCTTATTCATAAAACATTTTTTTGGGGAAGCACTGGAATTTCAACTTTTGTTTTTATGAGCAAAAGTGCTTCCAAAAACAAACTAATTTTCACGTTTCAACCATTTAAATAAAAAACAAAAAATTCTGGTGAAGAAATTGCATTGTAAAGAATTTGTAATACCTCCAACTTGGCCTCTTCGCGGACGGCATCCCAAATCGGGTCGCCCGAAACGGAAGCAAGTCCAACCGGGTCGGACTCGGGTTTCGGAATCCCCAATGCGTATACCGGAAAAACCTTCTCTAACCTGTACGCGGTGGACTCGGACCGGAAAAACCCGGGTTGGTCGTCGTCGTCGTCATCGTCGTCGTCGCGGCGGTCGTCTTCCGGTAGAGAGAGGCGGTCGGAGAGCATTTTGGGGAGGGCGACCCAGCTCTCATCGCTCACGCAAGCCATGAGTTGAGAATGAAAGAAAGGAAGAGGGAGCTTTTAGGAAGGGATCGAATGCGAACCCCTCATGGAAAAACAGAGTGGGTAGAGAGAGAAAGTGAGGAGAGAGAGAGAGTAAAGGCGGTGTTTTGTGTGTGTGGCGGAGTGTTGTGGCGTGGTGGGACGTAGTGGGGATGAAAATGCTGCGCATCGATGTTTTTTTATAATCTTTTGGATTATTTTGGCGTGAAATTGTCGTGGAAGGGAAGCAAAAGGGAAGGGCGGAAGAAGAAGAAGATAGACACGCGGAGGGTGCCAGCGTTTTTGATGAATTTTGTGAATGGATGGCTCGTATGACGTGTCCGTTGGTTTTATGGTTAAAATTTTGTAAACTAAATGATATAAAAATTGATTATTTGATTATTATTTAAGTATTAATAAATGTGTTCATTTGATTTGTATTTGTGATACATTTTTTTAATTTACAAATTTTATCTATAAATTTAGTTTGTCTAATATTACCCTATATCTTTTTGCTTTCTAACTAATTTATAGAAATTTTTGTAAAAGTTATATCTATGAAGTATTTAATAACTTATGAAATCATTTAGTTAGTGAATTGTATATATGGTCGCAATGAGTAAAAGTATTTCAAATTGTTTGTTTATTTATACATTTGATTAACTGATGTTTAAATGAATATTTGAAAAGGTGATATTTATAAGGGTGATTACTTCTGATCATAAGTACAAAGTACTCTGGATTGGTTACGAAGTTTATTCAGACATTATCTATACTAAGGGAATAGATGGTGGGCTTAATCTCACAATAAGCTAATAATAATATGGTTCGAATTTATCTTTGGCAAAAATCAAATCTAAGATTTCTAACTTATAAATAAAAAACAAATATTACTATACCGTAATACTAAATGATTATTTATACTTAATTTTGAATCCTCTATTCGTAAAAGTAATTTAAAGTATACACGGTCTTTGTAAAATAAATAAAAGTCAACCCCCAGAGAGACAATTTGATTCATATCATGACTCATATGTATTACTCTTTTTAAAATATTTCTTTAGGTGTTTTAAAGTGACATTAGTTTATGGCATTTTGAAAGTTTCAATGGTTAGGTCTTTGTTTACTATTGATTTTTTAAACAATAATTTTTTTTAAGAGTCAGATTATGAAGATTAAATTTTGTAAACAAAATGCAAAATTAAATGACATGGAAGTTGATGATTAGATTATGACTTAAACGTTGATAAACTTACTCATTCTTATTGGTGATACGTCATTTAGTTTGCAATTTTTTTCTATAGATTTAGTATTCCTATCATTACTCTTTTTTAACCATATATACAAGCGATATTTTATTTTAATTAAAATGAACTGCTGTAAGATTTAAACTTATTACAGTGAGAAAATATCAATTCTAGACAGTGTGACCATGCTCCATATAATCCTTTATATATACTCGTTTAACCAAATGATGTCATTTTTATGCGTGAGCATACCATTATAAATTAAGTTGATGCATCTTTCATTGCGTTTGAAATGATTCATGCATAGGAGGATTAGATTTTCCAAATAAACTAATTACCAAGATAATTGAGGAACTATACAATTCATGTACATTCCATATAGGCAATTTTAATGATTATATTTCATCATTTACTCATCTAACTCTTGACTAAGTACATGAACCAAGATTTGATTAACCACTCAATTATATCATGATTAATTAAATGACACAATTTTGAATTCAGTTAACAAAGACGGCTATCGTACATTATTTGGGGAAAGGGGAACGACAAAAGGAAATGTACATCGATATCACTTTGTTAATGTTCTTTCCGTATGCAGGATTTCTAAAATATAGTGTCACATCCCGGCCCGGGACAGATCACTTTTCGGGCCCGACTCCATCACCGTAGCACGATATTGTCCGCTTTGGACTTACCATTCCCTCACGGTTTTGTTTTTGGGAACTCACGAGCAACTTCCTAGTGGGTTACCTATGATGAGATTGCTCTAACCCCCTTCTCGCTTAACTTCGGAGTTCCGACGGAACCCGAAGCCAGTGAGCTCCCAAAAGGCCTCGTGCTAGGTAGGGATGAGAATATACATATATGGATTACTCCCCTGGGCGATGTGGGATGTTACAATCCACCCCCCTTAAGGGCCTGACGTCCTCATCGGCACACCACGGCTAGGGTTAGGCTCTGATACCAAATTGTCACATCCCGGCCCGGGGCGGACCACTTCCCGGGCTCGACTCCACCACCATAGCACGATATTGTCCGCTTTGGGCTTACCATTCTCTCACGGTTTTGTTTTTGGGAACTCACGAGCAACTTCTGAGTGGGTTACCCATCATAGGATTGCTCTAGCCCCCTTCTCGCTTAACTTCGGAGTTCTGACGAAACCTGAAGCCAGTGAGCTCCCAAAAGGCCTCGTGCTAGGTAGGGATGAGAATATACATATATGGATCACTCCCTTGGACGATGTGAGATGTTACATATAGTCACTCTAATTTGACAAATAGTATTTCAACCCAAAATCATGATGCATTTTGTTGATAAAGTCACTCTAATTTGACAAATAGTACTTCAACCCAAATTCACGATGCATTTTGTTCAAGTTGCGTTTAAACTCCGAATCTCAATGATAATTGTCCACATGTTTCAATCCGAATTCACGATGCTTTTTCTTGATAAAGTCACTCTAATTTGACAAATAGTATTGCAACGCAAATTCGTGATGCATTTTGTTCAAGTTGCGTCTAAAACTCCAAATCTCAAAGATCATTGCCCACATCCTATCTTATGTATTAATGGTCAAAAGTTCTTGCTGAAAATTAATAGGTTACAATTCAAAGACAAAGTAGTGATTTGACATCTCCAATTGCAAACATGTTTGAATTTTTTTTAATCATAAGAGTAGCATACTCACTTTTCCCCGTTCCACATAGGTGATTTGTGCGATTTGGAACTGACAATTAATTTATAAATTCAAATAAGATGTAAAATGACTAGCTCGGTAGTGATGAGACTCTCTTGTAGTACCAATTTACTATGTAAGAATTGTATATGGCACAAATATTGTACACTTTTTGAGCAGTCAAAATATTTATTAGATGTAATGTCGAATTAATTAAACCTTGGTCTGCATATAAAATTCCCTTAGCTTTTTAGTCAAAATAATTCATGAGATAAATACAACTCTTCATCTTAGTATTTAACATTGAAAATCGATAGAAGTGATCCATGAATTTATCTACAGTAAATCATTCCATAAAGATCAAAATAATTTATTGTGGATAAATTTATGAACCACTTTTATTGATTTTCATCGTAAAAAGCTAAAGTAAAGAGTTTTGTAAATTTTGAAGAACATTTTGACAATAAGACCCATCCTCTTTGGTGAAACTTTATCGATTTGTTATTATTACAAGGGAATGAATAGGGACATGGACATCCTTCAATTGTATATGGCCATGTACACGGCCAGAGACATTCCCCTCTACTGTTCTCTTTTGTGCTTCCCATCATTGTTCTGCAATCATTGATCTGAATCGAGATTTTTTATTAAAAATATACATGTAGCTTATGCGCATTCGAATCACGCACAGAAACTTGTCAGCATGTGCACCATACTAATAATATATTTGTAATTCAAATAGTTAAGAAAATTAGTTTTACGATGCTAATTATGATTCATATAGAATTATACCGAGTTTACTAACAATATTTTTAAGAGATATCGGCCTCACTTATGTTCCAAAAAAATCACTGACACTAAAGAAGCGATCAGTAAAAACGTTGTTCAGATTACATTCAATACGAATCTCCGCAAAAGTGGTGCCTATTCCCGCGCCCATCCTCTGCCCCTGCTTTCCCTCCTCGTGGGCCTCTGCACACCGTCCACCCGCCGGCTCCGGGCCCACCATTCATACAGACCTGGACGGTCCTCAGTCCTCTCCCCCACCATCTCTCCCCCTTTCCATTGTTGTCATCATTTCACAAATATTTTCATTTTTCAAGAGAAAATAATTTTTAATTAAAAGGTAATTATTTATCATTCTGTCTCTGTCTGTCGCTCTCCTTTCTGTGTCGGCGTCCCTTTTCCGCAAAAGCCTTCCAAAATTGCATAAACACATCACCATCAAATCACCACACCCGGACCCCACAAATTCGCGGCCATGGCCCGCAGATCCGTGCAACTCCTCCGCTACCTGCTCCCGAAACCAACCGCCCCGACCCTCGCTCCCACCGCCACCCCGTCCCGATCCGTGACCTACATGCCCCGCCCCGGAGACGGCGCCCCTCGTGCGGTAACCCTAATCCCCGGTGACGGCATCGGTCCTCTCGTCACCAATGCCGTCGAGCAGGTCATGGACGCGATGCACGCGCCAATATACTTCGAAACCTTCGAGGTCCACGGCGACATGCCGAAGGTCCCAGGTGAGGTGATCGAGTCGATCAAGAAGAACAAGGTGTGCTTGAAGGGCGGGCTGGCGACGCCCATGGGCGGCGGCGTGAGCTCGCTCAATCTGCAGCTGAGGCGGGAGCTCGATCTCTACGCATCCCTCGTCAACTGCTTCAATCTGCCGGGGCTGGTGATGAAGCATGAGAATGTCGATATTGTCGTGATCAGGGAGAATACGGAGGGCGAGTACTCTGGGCTCGAGCATGAGGTCATTCCTGGCGTCGTTGAAAGCCTTAAGGTATCATCAAATCACTGGGATTTTTGGAATTTTCAATTTTTAATTTAATTATATTTGGGGTTTTGTTGTTACTAGCAAAGAAACCCGCGCTTTGCTGCGGGTTTGAAACCATAACCACAATTTAGCACACCCATTTTAAGTAATGGGACTAATTAACCTTTCCAACAATGATTAGCAACTAAAATTGATCCACAACTTAATAAAAAGAAAAGACCAAGTTAAAAACTGAACACCATTAGCAGATTCATATGTATACATAATGGCAGGTCCATAAATTTTATCATGAATTCAGTTGTAAACTTGATTGTGCTCATGTAAAAAAAATTTAACTCGTTATAATTATTAATTCATGTAATAAATGAGTTGATAGATCCATAAACAATATGGAAACCAAATACACATGGAACACTCTATACCTCCCATATACAAACAAATTAAAGAGGTCATATTGTAGAACAAAAGTATACCTCCTGCAGCAAGCTTAAGCTTCGCCTCCAGTGGAGCAACAATGGATTCAATGGGTGGCATTTCATCATCTTTCTATGCAGCGTGAACTCTTCAAAGTCTGCCTTCTGCTGAAATATCTTGATATAAAACAAAACCCCCATAATCAGATTAATTAGGGTTTTTTCTTCATAGTTTCATGTACTTTAAAAGATATATGATGTAAATTATACTTGAGTATTATCATTGTGTATAGAAAACTAAACGGATATATCACATTCAAATTTTAGTATGCTGATTACCAAAATACTTTAAATGGTTCTTCAAATTATCATTGTCATATACCATGACTATGCTGACATATCACACTTTTTTTCCAAAAATACCTGAAGAAATTTCAAAGAACCTTCAAAAGAAGTTGTTGCAGAACAGGTTTCATCTCAACTGACTCTATAAAAATCAATTATTTATAAAGACTGTTAAGTGTATCTATAAAGTAAAATAGGTGGAAACCTTTACTGGATAAACTATCTGCTCAAATATGCTCAAATATTATGTACGTTTGATCAAGGTTCGCATTCATGAGAGTCATTTGGAGAGCAAAACTAACAGCAGCTTAGATGACCATCCGACCTCTGGACTTGGTAGTCCCATCTCGTAATTCCAAAAGTTGTGAAAATAAATCAATACCAATTCAAATTCATATGCCAAAATTATCAAATAATGTTCAATTAGTTTAATTTCAATGACCTCAACATTCTGGAAAGGCAATCCAAAGCTGCTGCCCCCTTGAGAGACTGAGTGACCATTTTCTGGCAGCTCAACAAACAATACTTCTCCAAGATGGTCCTAAAACAAAGCTTCACCTGCATCACTCAACCCATGATCTATTCACCCAAAATCAAACAATCAGATTGAGATACAAAAAATTAATATGTGCTTACGCCCCTCCTCTTGACTTTGAACTCCCCCTGCATATTTTTAAAAAATTACAAATTAAATTAAATAAAAATAATTCAATAAAATTAATCACAAATTTCATTTGAGTAATCATTAAAATCGAGAGAGTGCATATAGGTGAGTTATGGACAATTTACTATGGCTCAGCCAAGTAAGGACCAATTGTAAAAAGCAACATGAAGTCAATGTGTAATGAAAAGAAGAAAATGAAATAAAGATAGTAATATTATCACAAAAACAGCAGCAAGAGACCTTAATTAATTAAGATGGCTTATTTTAGTGAGCAAAGAAAAGCTAGCAATTAACAAAGTATGGATTTATTTGAGAAAAAAACACAGGATGAAATAAATTATTTCTTTCCAAAAGAGTATAAAAATACTACCAGAGATTCAAAAATATCAGTTAACACAAACAAACAGCAACAAAAGCCATTAGACATAAGGTAAAGTACCAAATACTTGATCAAAGAAAAAAGAATCATTTACCTCTACGGCTCTAACCATGTGAGGGGAACTTCTTCTTTCACATTTAAATGGTGTTTTGAAGACCAAACATGTTTCTTTCCAAAGAGAAGTGCCTGATGAAGATTAAAAATATATATATAATTCAGGTTGCATCAAAAGAAGTAATAAAGTGGATAAGAATGGCAAAACATGAAAATTGAACACAATGAATTACTAACATGATTAAATTTTCTATCTTCTACTCTCCAACTATTTTGACATAGCACAACAATTAACCATTTAAAAGAGTTGTGTACAACATAATTGATTTTCTGAATTTGGTAGACATACACTATCTCTTTGCTTCAGTAGTTGAAAAGAGAAATGGAGAAATCATGAATGTGTATATAAAAAGTTGAACCTTATGGGAGACGAAGAAATAACTCTACAGCTAGCAAACTATTAGAAATCCTGTTTACAAATTTACTCACGTTATCAACAATGCCAGCCATTGCCTCCTCTCTCCTTTTGCATTGGGATGTAAAAGTTTGTTTTCAATAAAACCCTGTAAGAAAGGGAAAGTAGAGGAAAGTTTAATGATGCAAAACATACACTGCAACATAATACCCTTCTCAAAACAGTCACACATATACATATCTAAAACCAATCGGTAAAAGATAGACAGACAGGGGAAATGAAACACAGATGAATCTACAAAGACTCGTAATTAATCACTTTGTTGTCCAAAAACAAAGACGGAATGAAAAACATTTGGTAGAACAATACAAAAATATTCAATACAACAACACAACAAATGAACGTACAAACAATAATTGTTTCACAACATTAAAAAGTTAGGGTTAGCAAATGAAACCTGAAATCCCAAGTCAGCAGGACGTTTCCTGCAATCCATAAAAATAAGAGAATAATGAGTTTTCTCGTCTTGAAACAATTGAAATAAAAAAAATTGCATTAAAATTAGGCAGCAGAGAAGTCGATGCACAACCTCATATGCACACACAGAGACACAGATGCATACAATTTAAGAGCATTGGAATTGAAATGGTAGGCCAGACAGAATAATAGACAAAATTTAAACTACAAAACGGAAAAAAATGGACCTTTGAACAGTTAACAGAAAAACACAGGAACCTGAGAAACAAAACTGAGAGCAAATGAATAAATAGAGGGGCAGAAAATCCCCAAATCGATTAAAAAAAAGACAAAAGCATGCTACCTAACCAACCAAACAGTGCAGAAAGATTTGTAAACTAATTCTGGCCTCTCAATCACAACATGCAAGCAGATATAAATGCAAGTAATAATAAAATATAAATATTTGAGTACGAAATCAAAATGACAAACCGAACCTGCAAGCAGATATATATGCAAGAAATAAATATCTCTGATTATTCCACTAAAATCTGACCTAACACACTAAAAAATTCGAAAATAATCCACAACAAAAAACCAGATCTAAGCTGATAGGAAAAAAAAAAATTTTAAAAGCACTTGGCTTTCGAAATTCAGGCATGTAGCTTCCCCTTTCCTCTTCGTTTTCTTTCCATCGTCATCTCTGTCTGTCTCTCTCTCTCTCTCTCTTCCGCTCTCTGTCACAGTCCATCCCCCCGAAACCCTCCTTGAAGGACAGCAAATGAAATTGCAGACAACAGCCATACCTCTCCCTGCTGTCTTCCCCTCGGCATCTCTCTCTCTGTCTCTCTCTCTCTCTCTTTCTCTCTCTGTCTGTCTCTCTGTCTCTCCGTTTCTTCCGCTCTCTGTGAGAGCTTAATTTCTCCGCTCTCTGTCACAATCTCCATCCCCCCGAAACCCTCATCGAAGGACAGCACACAACAACTCTCGAACTTAGTCAAAACCGAGAAGATATCACCCACTTTCCCACTTCTGATATCACCCACTCTCCCTGCGCTGTCTTCCCCTCGAAATCTCTCTCTCTCTCTGTCTCTCTCTCTCTCTTTCTCTCTCTGTCTGTCTCTCTGTCTCTCCGTTCTTCCGCTCTCTGTGAGAGCTTCATTTCCCCGAAACAATAAATGAAAGACAGTAAGTGGAAGCCTTACACGGCAACCCTTTAATTCACTCAAAACCCAGAGGACAAAATTGCCCTTCCAACCTAGTCCACAAATAATGGGTTTCTTGCAAATAAGATGAAATCAAGGGGTAATTCGTCCTAAACCATCCGGACAAAATCATCCTTATCAGTTCAAATAATATCCTTCAAACCCAGCCCAATGCTCATGGTTTTTGTGTAAATAAGATGAAATCGAGGGGCAAACAATTGACTGTAGCTCAATGAACAGTCAATCCCTCCCTAGTTTTAGAATAGACTAGAATTTGCACCCGCGCGTTGCTGCGGGATTGAAAATTATATGAAAAATTATGCACCTGCAATCTTTATAAACAATGTTCGAGTCAAAAACTGAGTTACAAATGCAAATGCAATTTATACACAACCTCATCATGAATGAAACAAATTTAAACATCTAAAGAGAATTCTATTCCTTCAAAGCAGAAAGGGGAAAATAATTGTTTCCTTAACTATTGAGGGAATACCTGCCAAATAAAGCTTACTACATTCTTAGACTTTTCATGTGCTACATGCAACGAACGTAAAGCTTGGATACCAGACTTGCTTCCAGTTTGAGTTGTATCCAAAGAAGGGATAACTGACATTATTTTGCAATAAATTGCAGAAAGTGCCTTGTACAGCTCTCCATGCTGCAGAAGAAAACAAAGACAGTAGTCAACTAATGATGTACGATGATAAAACCATAAGGCAAATCAAAAGGTGACAGTGATAATAAAAATAAAAAATGCATGACAACTTCAAAATTGAGTTTTGGAGAGAGAGAGAAAAAGAGCAGAGAGAGGTTGTAATTAGCAAAGACCAAATATATAAGACTTTTCATTTACATGCATCCCAAATTAGGGTTCCAAAATCACAATAATTCTGGAAATTCAGGTTCCAACATTCCAGAAATAATTAAACAAAAAGAAAAAATTAAGAGAAGAGAGGGAGGAATAATGCATACCAAGGAAGAGAAAAAGCTGGAATGGATCGAGATGTTTGAGGACTGAAGTGAATTGGTATCTGGGTCTGTTTTGTTTTTTCTTGAAGTTATAGTAATTTGTATGCACCATCCATTTGTATTTATAGTAATTACCTGCACAAATCTCAATCACCTTACAATCTATCACTACACACATATAGTTCATACAAAATTGCAGGAATAAATTAAACTAAGAAATTAAAACAAAGGGACAAATAATGCATACCAAGGAAAAGAAAAAGCTGGAACCGACCCTGCCATGGTATATAGGCATCTCAATTTTCAATACCAATTACCCTTCTCAAATCTAAACATCTCTCTCTAGTCCTCCCTCCCATACCAAAGTCCTCTCACCACCGCATCACATAGTAACACAAAATCGAGTTATTCATGATTACTCAAATCCCAAGTTGGGTGAGTGACTATAAATTCTCAAGGCATCTAGTGACCAAGAGAATGACGCTCGGTCTTACCTTCAAAAATAGCCATGTTAGGTTATTGTAAAAATTATGATCCACTTTTATCATATTTATTAAACTCTAAATAAAAGATTATGAACCATTGTGTTATTTACATGTACCAACATGCAGGAAAAACATAGGGTTTCATATTCCAAGAGAAAAATAAGTTAAGGAAAAACCTCAACACCTAACCTTATTATAATGGTGGCTGCTGAGTACAACATCTGATCGTCTCAAGGACCTCTTTGAAACCGCCGTGGAAACATGTGATTGGGAATCTAGATGACAGCCTAGAACAACATTGTATTTCAAAGCCTGATATTCATAAAAACCTGTGTCAGCTTTAAAAAATCTAACTATTTTCTGAATCACAGCTACAATTCTTTAAAATCATTTTCCTGGAAACAAAGATCATTCAAATGTCACTATTATTAAACCTATTAGCAGGAACAAAGTTCTTAAACTTCCTATCTCCATATATGAATTTAAGGAGGAGAGAAAAAAAGAGTTATGCAAGTATAGAGGTGCAGTTCAGTTGATTTTAAGTTGTCAATGGGAGAAAATACCTGGAGTTGAAGATAAACTTGGTGAAAGTAAAAATCTTCAAGCTGCAAACAAATTGATCCTGGTTTTTGTCACAGAATGTCCTTTCATCAGAGAAAATTATAGCAAAACTTTTAAAACTAAACAAAATTGTGTGAAATGATTAGGAAAGCAGAATTTTTCCGGACTATGCAGAGAAATAAAATTTAAATTAAAAAAAAATGTGAGTTCAAATAGAACTATATAGAGGTACACTGAGCAGAAAATCTTATTTAATGATAGTCTTTTAATTTATCATAGGTTTTTTTGTTACCAAAATTTAACAATTCAAATTAAATTCACCAAAAAAGCATACATGTTTTTTCGTTAACTTGTACATACATTTGTGAATAATTAAAGAAAAACTGCAGTTTAAAAATCTCACTTCTTCAACAGAATTTTGTAGGTGGATATAAGTATTTTGATTTTGTAGAAGCAAGTTGGATAACGTGTAAACATACATAGATTACAATGCTGAGAAAATAAGTCTTTATCTTTTATAGTAATAAACTATAATTTTAAGAAATTTAATTACCATTTCATTCGAGAGTAAAGTTTGAACGCCTTGAAATTTGTGGAAGCTCAAAACCTGCAATATGAATAGTGACAAAAAGGGCTCAATTGTTAAGAGGAACTCAACATTGGACCTCTAGCAATCACATAACTTTGCACAAAACACTCAGGTAACTTTACCAGGATTACACAAAAGAGACAAAAACAGAAGAATAATTCCATACCTCTGAATCTCATATGGGAGACCAGTAGATTCAAATGAATTGAATGGTGGAGGCACATTAGCACCCTAGCAAAAGATGTAAATCAGATCACTCTGAGCAGATAAAAAATTGATATCAGACATCCAGAGAACAGATCATCATTCAGGACAAAGTTGAGTTTGAAGTTCTTTGAACACCATTCAGAACAAATTCCCATGGTACCTTCATTTAGGACAATAAATTTACAAAATTAAAGTTGGGTTTTTCATATTCTCTATTGGGTATCGAAAGTCGTGGGGAAAGATTGGAAACAACCAAACCAACATCCAATTTAGTACACACCTAAGAAAAACAGAAGCAAGAAACAAAACAATGAAAGATCATAAAAGGTTCAACAATACTAAACAAAATTACAGTTGGATTTAAAGATGCATACTCAAGCAGCTCCTTAGTGCTTTCAAATATGGTCAGGTCTTCTTCCTTGAGATTCAAGGATACTTCTATGCCATCTCCATCTCGTGTATCCATTAACACAATCAGATTCTTGAACTCCGTACCTGAAGTCACCCATGGTGGCTTTCCCCATCCAAAATCAGGTTCATAGAAAGGAAACCTGCATCAACTGCTGCAGCTATAAGTTTCTACATCACTCCTTACCATGAGATTCCAATAATCCTTGAAAAATTCCCATACATCGTCCCCACCAATACCAATACCATATTTTATTTTAAATTCCCTTAAATATTCTAACACATTGATATGTACAAATTTTCACAGAATTAATGTAAAAATTACCTTTTTTGGAGACCACAACCTCAAAAACCGCTACTTAAGCCAGAAATTTAATCACAAAAAATTCTGCAAAACCTAAAAAAATTTATTAAACTGACATAAAACCAAACCCAGAAATATAAGGGTACAATTCTACAAACCCACCAATTTAATGAAGAATTCTCCAAAACCCAGAACCCTCTGCCAAATGAAATGGTCAAAGCATGGAAAGTAGACTCGAGAAATCCAATCGTTAAAAGCTATCAGAGGAAAGGTTGAAATATAGCTATAAAAACAGGTCCAACCAAGTAAAGTAATCCACTTGGTTATTAAACGTAAAATTCTACAAAATCACTAAAAACTTGTTAAAATTCAATTATATTAAATCACAAATTTGAAGCTGATTTTGACATGCAATAGGTCTAAAAGGTACCTGAGGTGATAAGGTATGGTTTGACATCTTCTTCTTTCTTCACCTCTTTCTAAGTTGCTCTTTGCATAAACTACAGTAATTAAAAAAATAACCCAATTACGTTGTATTAATCTGTAAATACAATTAAAGGTCCACCAGAAAATTATATAACTCAAAATTAAACAACACCAAGATGAATTTAAGCAAAACCTAGATCAGATTCTAAAAGGGTTTATCAAAAATAATAATTTAATAAGAAATTAACACTCACAATAAATAAAAAACCAAAATTTTATCGTTTCTTTTCACCTTTTAAGTTCCTGAGAGTGCTGGAAAGCTCTCGCTTTGCCATATTAGCTTTCTGGGCTTCTACTCTGGAATCTAAGTGAGAACTGAAGGCCCTGCGAGAGCAGAAGAGAAAGCAACCTCTAGCAACAGAGAAAGCAGTGAAGGTTTTTTAGCAAGAAAGTGCGGTTGGTAACTTGTGAGACAAAGATCGCACGGTGGAAGAGGGAGAGAAGGTAGCCTTGGAGAGCGAAAGGAATCGAGGTTCAAGAGCGACAGAAGCAGGGAATTGTGAGAGAACAAACAGGCAGACAGAGAGATCAATGTGCAAAATGAGAGAAAAGAAAACTAATAAGGGAAATAAATATCTCTGATGATTCCACTAAAATCTGACCTAACACACTAAAAAATTCGAAAATAATCCACAACAAAAAACCAGATCTAAGCTGATAGGAAAAAAAAAAATTTTAAAAGCACTTAGCTTTCGAAATTCAGGCATGTAGCTTCCCCTTTCCTCTTCGTTCTCTTTCCATCGTCATCTCTGTCTCTCTCTCTCTCTCTCTCTCTTCCGCTCTCTGTCACAGTCCATCCCCCCAAACCCTCCTTGAAGGACAGCAAATGAAACTGCAGACAACAGCCATACCTCTCCCTGCTGTCTTCCCCTCGGCATCTCTCTCTCTCTGTCTCTCTCTCTCTCTTTCTCTCTCTGTCTGTCTCTCTGTCTCTCCGTTTCTTCCGCTCTCTGTGAGAGCTTAATTTCTCCGCTCTCTGTCACAGTCCATCCCCCCGAAACCCTCCTTGAAGGACAGCAAATGAAACTGCAGACAACAGCCATACCTCTCCCTGCTGTCTTCCCGTCGGCATCTTTCTCTCTCTGCCTCTCTCTGTCTCTCTTTCTCTCTCTGTCTGTCTCTCTGTCTCTCGGTTTCTTCCGCTCTCTGTGAACAAATGCGCAGACAGAGAGATCAATGTGCAAAATGAGAGAAAAGAAAACTTATAAGGGAAATAAATATCTCTGATGATTCCCCCAAAATCTGACCTAACACACTAAAAAATTCGAAAATAATCCACAACAAACAGGCAGATCTAAGCTGATAGAAAAAAAAAAAATTTAAAGCACTTATCTTTCGAAATCCAGGCATGCAGCGATAGATCCGGATAATCCGTATCCCCACTTCTGAAATCGACGGCTCATACCTTTCCCCTTCGCTCTCCTTCCATCGTCATCTCTCTCTCTCTCTATCTCTCTCTCTCTCTTTCTTCCGCTCTCTGTCACAGTCTCCATCCCCCCGAAACCCTCATCGAAGGACAGCACACAACAACCCTCGAACTCAGTCAAAACCGAGAAGATATCACCCACTTTCCCACTTCTGAAATCCATCAGCCATACCTCTCCCTGCGCTGTCTTCCCCTCGAAATCTCTGTCTCTCTCTCTTTCTCTCTCTGTCTGTCTCTCTGTCTGTCTCTCCGTTTCTTCCGCTCTCTGTGAGAGCTTCATTTCCCCGAAACCATAAATGAAAGACAGTAAGTGCGACCCTTACACGGCAAACCCTTTAATTGACTCAAAACCCAGAGGACAAAATTGCCGTTCCAACCTAGTCTACAAATAATGGGTTTCTTGCAAATAAGATGAAATGAAGGGGTAATTCGTCCTAAACCCTCCGGACAAAATCACCCTTATCAGTTCAAATAATATCCTTCAAACCCAGCCCAATGTTCATGGTTTTTTTGTAAATAAGATGAAATCGAGGGGCAAACATTTGACTGTAGCCCAATGAACAGTAAATCTCTCCTTAATTTTAGAATAGATAATAATTTGATTTATTGATTGAATTTTGTCGTTTTTAGTTCATTAACTATGTTTAACACCAATTGAGAATGTAATAATGATTAATATATTACATTATACTTTGAAGAGAGATTTTTTAGTTTGTCTGAAATACGAAGTGGTACATCATGTATCACTATGCAAGTGGTGAGATAATTGTGTTAAAAATTAACAAGTTAAAAAATAAAAATTCCCCCTATTTATATAATTACACGTAATGAATCTGGCGCAGGATGAAAAGTTTTCTTCTCTTGTGACTGATTGTTGGGATTGCACGAATCTGTGTGATCCCACTTTGTGGAACCATTGGAAAGACTATTGCTTGAGAGTGAGACTAATCTAGTTGAGAGATTGTTATCCATCTCCGAGGTATATCTTTATGTGAGTGTCTCACTCATTACGTGACACTCAAGATTTTCTCACGTTATAGTGTCATATATAGGACCTCCTCTCACAATGTATGGTGGACTGACGTGTGGTTTTGTGAGACGGGGGTTCAATGTGAGAATAAGCAAAAATTTCTCGTATTCATTGAAGTGCATTTCTCGTATTTTTCAATTGCAAGTGAAATAGTCCCATATTTTGATTTGCTGCTGGTTGAGTGGTTGTATGTCGATGGATTTGTGGTTTATAGAAATTTTGAATGGATTTTCTTGTTATCTGCATAGTTTGGGTTATATTCGTCACTTATGCTTACTCTTTTGCTAGGTGATCACAAAGTTCTGTTCGGAGCGCATTGCTAGATATGCTTTTGAGTACGCTTACCTAAACAACAGAAAGAAGGTGACCGCTGTGCACAAAGCAAACATTATGAAGCTTGCAGATGGTCTCTTCTTGGAGTCCTGCCGTCAGGTGGCCACAAACTATCCTAGCATCTCATACAATGAAGTCATTGTCGATAACTGCTGCATGCAGCTTGTTTCGAAGCCTGAGCAATTTGATGTCATGGTATGCCATTTACAATTCATTGAAATGTTCGTCTATTTTATTTTATGCTGCATAGCTTTGCTATTATTCACTGGAGAGCAGGGCCTTCTGTTAGTGGGTCATTTTTCAGCCAGCAAGGATGCCTCTGAAATGAGGCACCCGTTATTGTTTGGAAGATTTGATTTTATGTCAGAGACAAAAACTGTGGATTATGCATTTTACTGCATTCTTTCTGTTGAGAAGTGCCTGATTGTAATGTAACATTTTTTCGTGTTAGAATAAAAAGGAAGAGGAGGGAAGAGGCGAAATTGTTTTCCGTTGTGAAGCATGCTGATTTCGGTTTTGCAGGTGACACCAAACCTTTATGGTAATCTAGTTGCAAATACAGCAGCTGGTATTGCTGCTGGCACCGGTGTCATGCCAGGAGGTGAGGTCTTCTTTTTAAATTGCTGTCCCAATGTCCTTGAGAAAAATGTAGGAAAATGACATCCTACTCCATGCTCTCAACAGTATGTTTCTCGCCGCAAATTAAGAATGATGGGTCTGATGTTTTGGTTGCAGGCAATGTTGGGGCAGATCATGCTATTTTCGAGCAAGGTGCTTCGGCAGGAAACGTGGGAAATCAGAAAATATTGGAGCTAAAGAAAGCAAACCCAGTGGCCCTGCTTCTCTCATCCGCCATGATGTTGAGACATCTGCAATTCCCTTCCTTTGCTGATCGACTAGAAACTGCGGTGGCACGAGTAATATTGGAGGGTAAACGCAGGACAAAGGACCTTGGAGGACAGAGCACCACCCAAGAGGTTGTTGACGCGGTCATTGCTGCCTTAGATTGACAGAGAAGTGAAGAGCAGGTATTCATTCTTCAGCCACTGTTCATTGCCCCATCGCATTTTTTCGATTTGGCATGGGAAGCGTTTACCTGCCAGAAAATTTGAAACGTTTTTAACATAATTCTTTGATTACCACCTCTAAATATTTCACAATCTTTGTTTCATAATAAATTTCAAAGATGAATAACTGATTCTGGTGTTTTAATACAAAGTTCCAACCTATCGTGTTTATGCTCAATCCGTCTGTGTCCATACTTGTAAATCCATCCTTGCGAATACAGTTGCAGTTCTCAGATAACTAACTATATGTGAACTTCCACCATACACACACAGCTTCAAGGTATGAAAAGGCAACAGTAGATACATATTACTGTTCTGTTGATGACACTCAGACTGTTATCGTTGTTGGATACACTGGCGTGCCAGTGGTGACACTGCTTGGACTCGCTTCGGTCTTCTTGTGATTCGAATTCATCTCTCGCCTCGCCGCTTTTAGTCATTTCTTCTGATTCATCGCTATCTTCTTCTTTAGTGATTCTTTGCCGAGCATTGCTTGGTGAATGGCAAGTGAGAGCTTAACATGAATTTGACAGTGAGCTGAGCTCCCCAGAGGGCAAAAAAGTAAATAAATAAAAGAAAAGAAGGGCGACAATGGGCTCTTCTTGTTGGGTTCCCTGAGTTCGGGTACCCAAAAATACTCTTAATTGGGCACAAATATGGACCATTTTATGGTACCATATGAATTTTCTCAAAAAAAAAAAAAAAAAAAAAAACCAGACCTCCCCCATTGATCAACTTCCTCCCGGAGACCTGCACCGTCCACCCCAGAGCGGCGGTCTGTACTTGAATCAGGACCATAAAGGGACCGGTGTCTGATAAGGTGGCTGGTCGATGGAATCACAGACCGGATATATTTAATCAACGGTTAATCTCTGTTTACTATCCTAAAGTTTCGTGGTTTTCAACATTACGAAGTTTTTTTCATCCCAGAGTTATACCTCAAGTCTTAAATTTGGGACATTTTCATGCATTCGATAGTCAAACTGTTAAATCTGTAGTTAACTGATTACGTGGTATCCATGTGGACAATGACTGGGCGCCACATGTCATCCACTTTGAAATTAAAAATAAAATAATTTATTTATTAAAAAATAAAAAAATAAAACCCTTCTTCCCCAAATCCCACCTGTGCCCCCTCTCCCACCCACCCCTTCGTCTTCCCCAAATCCCATCTGTGCCCACCCTCCCATTACCCACCCCTTCTCCCACCCTCCAACACTCTTTCTCTCGCACCACTCCTACCTTAACCCCCGATCCCCTCCCTCCCTTTCTCTCAACTGCACACCCACTCCGCACACCCACCTTCAATTCCCTCTCCTTGTACATTCCACCAAAACCTTCAACACCTCTAGCCTGTGATGCTTCACACACAAGTGCAACCCACCCTCGCCTCCCTGAGTCAAAATCCGAGTCGCCGCCCGTTTGACTCGGCCACAACCGTAACTCGCTCCTTGATCACAGCCAGATGCAGGGGAGTGAACCCATCGCGATCCAACACCAAACCCAATTCTGGGTTGACCTGCACCAGATTTTTCACCATCGGTTTTCAATTTTTGAATTTGATGATGTTGAATTTCGTGGGTTTCTCATTTTTGATGGTTTGGGATGTGGTTTTTTATTTTATTTTATTTTATTTTATTAGTTTTGTGATGGGGAGAAAAGAGTGGAAGTGTAGGAGTCGAAGAGGGAAGGGAAGCACTAGGTGCGGAGGAGGGAGGAGGAAGAGGATGGATGTGCAGAGTCGAAGAAGGAGGGAGAGCACTGGGTGCAGACGAAGAGAATGGAGGGTGGGATTTGGGGAAGATGAAGGGGTGGGCACAGCTGGGATTTGGGGAACAAGGGTTTTTTAGTTTTTAATAAATAAATTATTTTATTTTATTTTATAAATAATTTATTTTTAATTTCCATGTGGATGACACTTGGTGCCCAGTCATTGTCCACATGGGCGCCACATCATTAGTTAACGGCAGACTTAACAGTTTGACTAATGGAGATATAAAACTGTCCCAAATTTAAGACTTAAGGTATGACTCTAGGATGAAAAAAACTTCATGTACCAAATGTTGAAAACCACGAAACTTTAAGGTTGTAAACAGAGATTAACCCTTTAATCAATTAACTAACTAACTAATTAATTACTTTCTTAATTAATTTTATTTTTGTTTTAGTCTAGTGAAAGTTTTTGAGTTCGATTCTCGTTAAAGACGAATTTGAAATATATTATTATGGCTCGCTCATTATGAGGCTTAGTCAATTCTCTTACTTTCTTAGTATAGATAACATTGCTTGTTAAAAAAAAATTGTTCAAGGGGGATTATGCAACTATTTTTCAGGAAAATCAAAGTCATTTGCCAGCTTGTCTCTGTGAGTTCAATGGAGGAGGTGGAGAAGCGAGACAACCTATTTGGTGGAATCACAAACCGAAGACCTGCACCTTACTCCTCAAAGAAAAAGAGGAAGAGAGAGAATATATAGAGTGTCGCTGGTGGAATCACTGCGCGACGATGTAGGTGGGTAGTCAGCATGGAAGGGGGTAGTCAGAGAGTTTTTTGACTGGACAATGCTAGGTAGACTAAATTTGTAGATAAGGTTTTGTAAACTAAATGGCATAAAAGTTAATGATTGAATTATTACTTAAACACTAATAAACGTGCTCTTTATATTAGTGACACATCATTTAATTTATAAATTTTATCTAGAAATTTAGTTTTCTTAGTCTTACTTTTTTTTGTTTTTTTTCTCTTTGAACGATTATGTTAGGGTTATATTAGGAATTTTGTTGGCCTATTTATTAATGCCTATCATAAATGCAGAATGTGGCAAGTTTTTTTATAGTACAGGAACGTGGCAAGTTTTTAATTCCAATTATGGAAATAGACGTATTAGTTAAGATTATATTTGTTGGGAATTCCAGGTCAACTGACGTGCTACTCATCTCTTTATAAACATTGGATGAGAATTTTTTTCGGATTTTCTTTGTAAATGTTGTAAATGTCTTAGAAATTCTATACTTTATTCGTTTATTGTATATTATATGTTTAGTTTTCGTTAAGTATTATTATTTTTAATATAAAATAAAATAATTTAAAATAATTTCTGATCGTATAATATACAATAAATATATAAAATGTGAAGATCTTAGGATTCTCAAAAAGAAAATCTAAATGAGATCCACATTCTTAAGTATTTGCTCTGCTAAAGTACATTTAAAATCTAGATGCGATCCACATTCTTAAATATTTGCTCTGCTAAAGCACATTTAAACTGAAACTGAAAGGGTAGGTTTTAAGAAGCAAAAAATAAAAGAGACAGATTGTTTGCACTCTTGTTATCGTGTCATTTCTATCATTTTTTATTTATATGATCATGATTAAATCATGTTAATATTTTATATTATTATTATTTTTTATTTTATTATATTTATTACAAAATTAATATAATTTAACCGCCATCCCATAAATAAAAAAAATAGAAAAGATACGATAATAGAAGAGTTAACAATCTGCCTCCAAAAATAAAATGTTTTTTTTGAACGCGTGACTTGTATACATTAGACGAGGGACCATGTATCAGGATTATGCATCGGTACTTGTATTCATTAGACAAGCGATGACGTTATTAGGATTATGGATCGGTTGCAAGAAAGATATATATATTTTTTTTAAGACGGTACGATAATAAAAAATCAATAAAAATTTTTTTTAGCTGACACCTTTTAATTGGAGTGAACTTTATCATCAAGAAACACTCTCTTTATCACTGTGATAGAGAACTACTTCATTTTGTTTTTTTAATTTTAATGTGTTTAATGTCAGAAAGATAAAATTTACAAACTAAATGATTTATTACTAATAAAAATGAACACGTTAACACTCTAAGATATTTTTTCAAACCTGCTCACAGTTCCAGTCAAAAGATAGATAAATAGACACATCCCATTGCAGTGGTCGGGGGCGTTCATAGTGACTGAGGGGGTTGAAGACCAAGAAGTGGGTTATTTATAACAATAAACTAATTATCGACTTTTATATTTTTTAATTTTTAAAATTTTATTTATAAATTAATGTAAAACATTTGCTAAATAGATAAGCATGATTGTTACATCATTCATCCTTCCAAGAGACTTCCATGAGTTGTTACATCATTCATCACATCACCTAGGGACTTCCGTGAGCAACCAACTCATGATAACATTATGATAACATTGGACCAGGAAACCTCATAGAACCAGTCACTCACTGCCTGATTCCCTCGTTACCTCCGTCGTCACGACCATGAACCACTTTGTCAAGAATTCATGGACTCGCTTGGCTTCCACTATCCGTCGCCGTCACTTGACTGTTAGTCTGCCGTTATGCTCTCATTTTTCCGGGAACAATTCCGCGCCGGAGTCATGGAGTTCGATGGAGGGGCTAGTCCGGTGCCCGGCAAACGACGTGCCTTTGTCTCCTGTAGGATTCCTGGAGCGAGCTGCCAAGGCCTACACTCACCGGACCTCGCTGATCTACGGCTCGCTGAAATTCACCTGGGGTCAAACCCATCACCGCTGCCTCAGATTAGCTTCCGCTCTCACCCAGCTGGGAATTTCCCCCGGTGATGTGGTCAGTTCTTTTATTTATTTATTCATGTTTTCTTTGTCTTTCATATTGAATAAGTCAACCCGTCACAAACTCATACTGAAATCTGTGATTCAATTTGATCGGAAGCGCCTGTTTGAGAACCATTTCGTTTTTGGTTTTTATTTTTCGTTATCGAGATAAATGGAGAGCATATGGAAAGAAGAGGGATGAAGAAGGGTAGATGAGAAAACTATAAACTAAAACCGAAATGGTTATCAGACGGCTCGAAAACTTCTAGTTTGATCATTTACCTTCTACTCTTTCGTTACTATGTCAAAACATGATCTGTCAATTGATATAGCAGATGAAACCTGTATGCATGTTTGACTAGTTGATTCATTGACCAGGTTGCAACTTTGGCTCCCAATGTCCCAGCCATGTATGAGCTGCATTTTGCAGTTCCAATGGCCGGTGCAGTTCTCTGCACACTAAACTCACGCCTCGATTCGGCTATGATTTCTGTCCTGCTGAGTCATTCCAAGGCCAAAGTCGTCTTTGTGGATTACCAGTTACTTGGAATTGCCAATGGAGCACTTGATCTTCTTGCCCGAAAAACGGA